AAAATCACAAACGCCCTCAGAAACAATTATTAGATTGTTGTAGTTTTCTGAGCTGTTGGATCTGCCTGCTATAGTCTTTCACATGCGGTTAATGTCGAATTCATAATCTATGGAATCTTTCTAAAACGATCCCCCTTCGAATGCTGGCTGCTGTACCAAGCCGATGGAATGAGAATGGAAAAGCAACAAACAGACACAAAGAGTCGTATGCCTGCTATGCGATGCACACACAGAGATTCGCCCATAAATTCCATACACACAAGATAGCAGTGTGTCCCACACAAATTTACATAAATTACAATCTTTGTACAGCATACATATACACACCAAACATAAAACATAAGAACGGAAAATATTAAATTTATATTAAAAGATAAACGAAACTGTTTACATTTTGGGGGTAAAATGTTTGTGCGAAAATTTATCTATGAATAAATAATTTATGGTAGCACCCAAGTTGATTCGGAACTGCCGATGTACATCGAACTCTCGGTAAAATAACTTCGATGAATGGAGAGAGAGAGTGAAAAAAATATTTGATTTTGGCCTATGCTCTTTGCACTTTGTGTTTTTGCTACAGTAATGAAGATGTGGCTTGTGAAAAACACACACATACTTTGTGTGGAATCCACATTGTGTGGATAGATGCGACATTTATTATTATTTTTTTGTGGATAGGCAAATGCATCTCTACCGCCCCTGTTCTCTGTTACCACCGGTTGTTTGAACGTGCTTAAGTCGATTATTGTAAATTATTACAATATTCTTCGTTAAGTGTTTATTTTGATATTTTTATCATCTCATGAATTTTGAAGCATAATAACATGCATTTCGATGAGGGCAAAATTATGCTTTACATCATAAACTCTCCGGAAATATAAACAACAACTTCGCCGGAGCAAAAGTTTTCCACCGAGTTTGTTGTTTTTCAACAAGCACCTCAAGTGTACTTACAAGTGTTTTCACTGTTTCTTCTTGTTTTTTATTTTAAATTTTAAATAATCAGTTTGACGTTTTATTAACTGCCACATCATTTCGAGTGGGCTTTCTTGGCAAATACTCGAATTGTTACCAAACCGTTTCATTTTTTCTTCGGTAAATTAAGTTGAATAAAGCTCATTTCAACTGTTAAATTATTTATTTAAATAAGGTTTTTGTTTTCATTACGGCAAAAAGTCGGAGAATTTAATGTATTAAATGTTTGTTTGCATATGAAGTCATCGCTGACAAAAGTAACAAAAGAGAAAAAAAACTGAATAAAACCATAATAATGGCAAACATGCCCCTCGTTGACCGTTTGGTACGTTTTAATTATTTTTCAGAATTAATTATGACTCATCATAGACTAAATGTCACCATTGCCACATATGGTTGTCTCAATTATACCGCCTCGAAAATGGCAACCTTTAGCATGTGACAAATATGTAAATGTTACATTGTATTGGCTGAAACATGCAGAAAGGTCTGGATGTCATCTTAATTACTGTGCATTCTTATCCTTTATATTTGCCGGAAGAAAATTTCTTTTTATCTGATCCACGTCCAAAAATGAGAGACAAGCATCCGGTGACATATTAGAAGCTTTTGCGTGAGAAGATATCTCGCATTTGTTTCGTTTTCTTTTATCGAAAAAAGAATCTTGGCCATGAGTGTCGGAAATCATAATCAAAAATCACATTCAGTGTATTAAATGACACTGAAAACCCGAAACGTTTAGCCGCGTCAAAGTTTGCCACCCTCTCGACATAATCGATCCATGTTCACCTTTATGGAGAGAGAAAAAAGAGATGCAACCAGATTATTTACAAAATCATTATTATAAAACTTAATGAGCTGGTAGATACGGAGTGGAAAAGGTGAAGAGAGTCCCGAATAAATTAACGAATATTGTGTTCAAATACCCCACAGGGATACTTAGTTACGTTTAAATGATTATAGGCTGTATGATTAAATTACTCTTAAACTTCAACGAAGTTTCAGTTTATGCATCGTAATTTCATCGTCAATGAACGTTTCACCGCTACTCAATGTGCGCTCAATATGGTTTTTCGTCGAATTTATCGATTCAAATGAAAGTGAAGTCGCTCTAGTCACAAATACATTTTATGTAAATCACAGTTATCCCAGACTATTTATCTTGGAGTTTACCTGTGTTTATGCACGAGATTAACACGCACATTTTTTATGATGCGATTCCTTCCGTCTCTGTATAGTACTGAATAAGTAACCGAAAAAAAACAACTGCCGCATTTGAAAATGCGATAAATTTGAAAATAGGGAAACAAGTTCACTTAAAAGTTTCAACTTAAATTAAAGAACGATGATACCGAAAAAAAATGCCGAATGATATTCGGCGGCGGTGGCACAGGGAGAGCGAAGATAGCGAAAAAAATAGCGGCAAAACAACAACTCAACAATGCGAACGAAAACTTATGATGCTGAAGAAAATGGCATTAAAAAGAGCAAAAAGCAAGTTTTTCTATTTCGTTAAATGTTTCGAGTAGATTTTATGAGAACGAATTCAAGGGAAACTTTTTTTCCTGTCTCAACCGAATGAATGCGTCATCGTGATATTTCTGTTTTGCAAGACGCGTGTTTGCTGTACACTAGAACATCTAGAACCGACGAAAGAAAGACGTGAAAGTTAATTTTTTAAATCAAATTATTCTGTTTTATGGACGCAGTATGAGCTGCTCGTATTTCACTAGAATATTCGGTATGCGCAAATTGAGCGCAATTTTAAAGTGTTTAATTGGCGTTAACAATTTATGGATTCAAACCATTTCAAGATGCCGTGTGTCATTTAATTTCGTTCCACATTTTGATCTTGAATCATATCTATTCCAAATTGTATGTTTGGTTTGAATGTTCGCATGGAAAAGGGGGCGGCAACGGCATAAAACACGAAACCGATGACACTTGTCGCCAGTCGTGGCTGCACTTAATATGAAAACCAATGATTGTGTCCTTTGAACTGTTAACCACTAAACTTTGCCGTTCATTTAAGTTTGATAATAACTCTCGGGCTCTCGCAGTCGTCTCTGCACGGAAAGAATAAACAGAGGAAATCTCCTTTAAAAACTTGATTACTTTAGTCGTGTGGCACATTAATTTTTATCTAACTCACAATCGAAACCGCCATTATGGGAAATTTTAAAGAATGTTTTTCATTGTTTTTTTTTGTTTTCATTTGAAATGAGTACTTATAAAATGTGGTCTGCAAATAAAAACTATAACTTAAGTGAAAAACATAGGAAAAAGTGTTGTAATTACGTAACGGAAGAACTGTAAAAACCCCGTCTTTATCAGAAATGGTTTCGTGTTAGCAAAACATTTTCTATTAGATCTTTATGTTTGGCGGCAGCGCAGAGAATCAATTGCTGCATATATGCGTTTCGTATTGACGTTGAATAGTGAGTATAACAAAAAAGTGGCACACGAAACATTTCCAAACACGCATATTAGCCCAAAAGTTACACGCAACTTTACTGCAATAATTTATTGGTGAACCGTGCTAATAGTTTTCCTGCTCTCTTTGTTAAAACGCTACATGACTCTGTGTGCCGCTTTTATTTTTCGCTTCCATTTTCATGTACGTATGTTCCAGTACGATATACGTATGTTATCAATTTTTCGCTGAAACGTTTACGTACCGAAGGTAGTTTGGGACAATGTTCTAACATGAAATTGTAATTGAATTTAATGCTAGATTTAATGGTGAATACATGTTTTTATTTCATCTCCGGCCATTTTCTTGTTCACTTTTAACATTTATGCGAACATTTTATTAGCAGCGTTGCATTCAAGAATCGATTGTAAGATGGTCTTGTGTGGGTATATATGGTTTTTGATTTGAGTTAACTTTTGTTTTGTAATACTTACCATTACCGTTATATGAATATGAAATCGATGCCGCACTGTTTCCGTTTGCTTTCAACCAATGTTTGCCGCGTTTATATTTGTTGATACAATCATCGTAACGATTAAATGACATGGTTTCAATTTCCGACACTTGGGTTATATCAACCAGTGCCCACAAAACGATTTGCCAAGTTGTGAGCGAGACTCGAATTCGTGCCACATGATTGCAAATGAAACGATTCGATGGTATTTTCCTTAAAAAATTTATTTATTTTCATAATTTTATTTTATTTTATGTTACAATAGGATTATCCATGTTATGTTGATTCCAAATGTGGTTTGTTCTCAATAATAATGATACAAATGCTACAATGATATACTCGATTGCAGTTTCTTATGCTTGCTTGCTTACATTCAAAACTAAAAAATACGACTAGTCATGGTTGCATGTTTTCTCAGCCGGAACAACCGACATGCGGTCGAACCGAGCATTTTTCTCATGAGATTGTCCATGTTTGTTAATCCTATTTACTTTCTTCAAATTTCGAGACAAAAACTGTTTGGGATGATATAAGCTATACAAATAACTTGTCAGATTCGTCATCGTTCATTCATAATGGATTTTCAGTTGAAAATAATAATCTTATTTGTTTTGTGTAAATGAAATGCCATGGAGACTCATGCATACTGTATCAAATAGGTGTCGAGACGAGAGTGCATTGCACTCGATAAATTACATTTCAAATTCAGTTATACAAATCGGAGGTATATTCTTGAATCATCTTCAATTCATCGAAGTAAAGAAAATGATCCATTAGCAGACGAATCTCAATGTACAATCTATAAAATTCGCCAGAAACTATTCCACTTCCACTTATAATTATTGCCACAGACATGTAACATGTTCTATTGTATTACGGTTCTACGTTATCTTAATTACTTCTGCTCTTCGGTCGATTTCTTCACATATTTTAACTATAAATTACAATCCGTTTCACTTATTTTATTATAAAATATGTATATTTTTATGTTGGCTATTGAATTTATGTTATGTGTATCGGATTTCTTAATGTTTCTCTTGATAAGTATGTATATTTATTTTCATCTTCAATGACAGTGAAGCTTTTTTTATTCATCAATGCTTGGCACTAGTACGACGGTCATTTTTTTGCTTATTTACTTAACACAAGTTTGCTGGTGGCAATTGGACGACATTTACGCATTTATTCACATTGAGTACATTGAAGCGTATTTTCATGCAAAAGCCGCTTAAACTGAATTACTTTGAAGCATTTTTAATGAAAATGAAACATCTTTGAAAACAAAGACGAAATACTTTGCTGTAAGAACTGTAAATTCTGAAAGGTTTTGTGAACTTAATTTTTTTTTGTGTGAAAATTGAATGATAATGAAGTGCTTCGCTGTATCTTATGCATTTTTTCTCGAGAAGCTTTGCATTTCTTCATACATTTTGAAGCAGCTTTGCTTCTCTGTGAATGCCGGAACATTTCCCGAAAATAGTTTTCCCGAACGAAAGTTCTCCTGAGAAATCAGGAATTTTTCAAAGAAAATTTTAAGAGTTTGTTCGGGAAGAAGGATTTTCGCGAAATATTCCAGCATTCCTTCTTTGCTTTGGAAAAATGTATGGTTTAAAAACAGTTCGGATTATAAATGCCAAGTGAAAATATTTACGACTGATTTTCATATAATACATGTAGAGTTTGTTGTTGCGATAAAATGCCGTCGAATTTTTGAAGACATATTGTGTTCCGAAGACATGATTTTCATTCAAAGGTATTCATTTCACCGATATTTTACATGGAATCTGGATAAATAGCTATAGATTTACTAATTTACCTAGTCATAAGAATGACATAAAATGACCTAATTCGCCACGCACAAAAAAAGGTGTAAAATTCCAATATAATTTTGTTAATGTCTCAAGAGAGACCAAATTCTTTTAGGATTTTGAAAAAATGTTGCATTTATACACAATCCCTCTTTGTCTTATATGGATAAATCATACAATAGCACTGGCTAATCCACGTAGCGGTATGGAAAAAATTCCAATAAATGGCGGCTAGCCAGTTCCATTGTATGACTTTAAAAAAGAATCCAATTGGATTTAGATGGTAGTATAATTCGTTTACCCTTCAAAATTGGTTCGTTGATGTCGATGGATCGATTTTAAATGAATCGTCATCTGCAATAAATCATCAGATGACAGTGGGTTCATTAAAAATCGATCATTCAATGTGCAAAAAAACATTGCGGAAAAAGTCATGTCAGTCTTAGTAAGCTACTCAATACAATTAGTAAATCATTTGTCGAAGACATCATCGTTTCAGGTGTGTTTCGTTGAATTTTTTTTTATCAAATCTTCTTAACGGATTTCTTTTACTTCAATAATAATAATCATAATCAAAGGCGACGTAACAATAAAAAAAAAATTGAAAAGAAAAAAAAATTGGTTTAACTGCTATTATTAAATAAGCCAATGCAAACACAAATCAACGATTTGATTTTAACAAAGAAGACATTCAACGAATTTAACGTTTAACATATAAACGAACCATCGGCACGTTCTTAACTATGTATTTTATCTTTAGATTTTAAACGAAAAAAAATGATAACTCAAGCGAATATTTCGACTAGAAGTCGCTGATCTCACCTTCGGTGTCCGGTTGTGTGCATGTGAATGGATTTTTCAGCCAATTGCACAATGATTTCTCTTGACGATTTCGCTTTTTAAGCGTTATCTTTTGAGCATGTGAAAGATGTGGACCATCATGAGGACCAGATCCAAAACTAGAATCGTCACCATCACGAGCTGTTGCTGCCGAACACGTTGCCACACTATGATAACCGCTTTCGGCTCGTCGTGATATGCCTGAATGTTTTGAAGTTCGCGGAGTGGATGAATCATGACCACTGTCATAAGCTTCGGGCGTTGATAGACTTAATGGAGGCAATTGTGGAACTTGCGTTTGTGATACAATTGGCGTAATTGAATGCGTACTTATCACTTTGTGATCGATCAACTCGACTATCGTTGGTTCATTTAAAATCTCAGCTATTTTACTATCGACCGTTAAGATTTGTTCGGTTTTTTGTCTTATATTCGGATCAGAAGCACCGTCGGGGTGGCGTAACGATGCATATTGATCCAGTCCACCGATTTGCATTAAACCATTTAAACTTGGCAATGAACTTTGACTGGGCGTTCGTGATAGTGTCATCGATTGACGACAATCACGACATCTTGGGCTGGGCGCTCGATATACCGGCTCACTACATACACTGCCTGATCCTGACATGAGTCTAAACGCTGGCTCGCTATACACACTTCCAGCATGATTTATTTTATAATTTGGCGTTACTTCTGCCATTGCCAATTGTGACGTGTACAAATCTCGCAGCTGTGCTAATTGATCAAATTGGTTCCTTTCGAAAAAAAAAATGAAAAAAAAAAAATCAACAAATATATAAGTGAATTCAAATCGATAATGTTTTTATGCTGAAATTATCGTTCTACTCAGTCGTTAACATGATTGAACAAATATAACGAATTGAAAATACTCTGTTGTATATCATCCGGATTATGGAAATTTATTTTTATTGTAAAAAAATTACCTCGTATGTTCACCAATCACGCAATCGCTGAATGCATCTCCAAAACCGCCCGCACGAAAACTGGATATAACTGACATATTTGCATGACTCAATGCGCTCAATGGATGATCACTGACGTGGAAAAAATGAAACAAATATAAAATATAGGATGCATTTATTTTGTTACAATCAATTGAACAGCACTTCATCGTCAGCAAATTGAAGTGAACACACAAAAAATATGAACATAAAAGCGAATAAATACATACCGTCCCATTTCTCTGGCAATTTCCTCTTCTGTGACTTGTAGACCGCAGTCAATTGTTTGAATATTTAATCCCAAATTTTCGCGTGAGACATGCCGTGAGCACATCAAATGTATGCTATCGTGTGATATTTCCCGTGAGCTAAGTGGTTCAATCAATGGAAGCGCAGGCGGGACTTCGGATGGGCCGCTATCTTGGTCTTCGTCTTCTTGTGAATCGTGTTGTCGATGTGACGATATGGCCGATTGCATGGATCGAACATCAAAGTGTTCGGTTTCAACTTCTTGAGCTGATTTGGTCCCGCTCATTCGAATCGAAATATCCATCGTACGATTGGGTCCTCTGCTGCTGCCGCCGCATAAACTTTCGGTAATTTCATTCAATGTTGTTTCTATACAAATTTCTTCATCGTCTGATGTACATTTGGCATTGACCGGCATTGGCAATATTCGCGAGTGAGCGTTTATCTTTGGACTTGAATTGCTTGCGTTAAACACTTGATTTGTTTGATTCTCCACCCATTGTCGAATCATGATTTTTTTGTGTGTGTCCATATATCCGTATGTTTGTTGTGCCGAACATGACGCTGGCACTGCACCACCTACGGCTATCGATTTGCTGGGCGACATTTTCGGACCATCAATCCATGTTTCACACTTTTTAACGTGATTTATTTCGCGCATCAAGTGTCGTGCTTCGGCCACTTTAAATTTAGACAATCTCGGACCATCGATCCATTGCTCTTCGACCCCCACTTGCCGCTTTGGACTTCCGTGATTACTGTTGCTCGGTCGTCGTAACGGTGAACCCTTCGGTGATGATATGTGCGCTGGTGTATGTCTTACCTGTGACGCGATGATTTTTGGTGAATTTGGCAATGAAACGGATTGAGATTGCGATGGTATCGATGGATTGTATTGATACGATGGCATTTGATCGCTGGTTGGTTTTTCGCATGATATCGGACTTGAATTTGTTGCTAATCTACGCTTAAGGCTATCAGTTCGTTGGTTCGGTACCGGACTTTGTGCTATATCAAATGAAAGAAAATGTGTTATTCATTCCGAAACGGGGGAAATAAAACCATTTAACCAACACAAAAAAAGGTAATAAAATGAAATTGATTGTTTTACGTTTTGTGGTTTTTTTCAGCGGTAGTTTACTGGGTTTTTCAGCACTCGATCCCTTTAACGCTTTGTTCATTGAACATCGGTTATCGCCAGAGTTCATAGATGGGATGTAAACTGGTGGATGTTCACCGTCGGTGGCATCATCGCTTGGCCCCAAATAAATTACCGTATCGGCCGATAGGTCGGAGCTCGAAGGATCTGGACCATCCGAACTTGAAAAGTTTCCTATAATTTTTTTTTGTATTCAATTGAATTTGTTACAATCATCGTCTTTTCATATATAGATTTTTTTTGTCATTGCTTATGCGAGTCAATTTTTTTTTGTGTTACCTGTAATATCAAAGCCTAATGCTTTTTGCGTTGACAAAGGCAATCGATGTTTTCGTCGTCGCATTCTATGTATTCGTGATGCAACTTGTACTGTAGTGAGAACATCTGCATGTGTCTGAATTGAGCGAGGGGAATGAACAAATAAAATCCCATTTAAGTTCGTCATCTGACTTCTCTTTGAAATTCAAACCGCCTTACCTGTGAACATATGATATGTGCCAAAATCGTAACGTGACAAGTAATTGGAGCTAAACAGTCTTTGAGTAGAGGTGTCAGCGGATGATTTTGGTTTGGTGTATGCTTTTGACCACCAAGAATGGCAAACAAAGTGGTACCAATGCCGGACAAAGGAAATCCACCGGAGCGATTAGCACAACCGCCCAAATTAATAAGATGCAAACGACTTCGACCGCCAGCAACACCACCTTTTCCGGCTAAACTATACTGATATACGTGCAACGTAAAAATGATTGCCGCTTCCGAATTGCCCGGAAGACGTGATGCTAGTGCTGAATCTAAAAATAATGCAGCTCGTTCGGCTGTTGGTGCTCTCAATTCAGTTGGACCACCTAAAAAATCGTCACGCAAATACACGCTCGGCGAATCATCCGAATCTGTGTTGATGACGAAAGTAAAAAAAGACGAAAGAGAAAAAAATATGGGAAAAAACGTTAAGTCAAAGCCGTGTAGAAAATAGTTCAATTCTCACATTTGCTTAGAGCTTCACTAACACACAATTTACTCGGTAAATAAGTGCCAGACATTTATTTTGTCGCATTTTCATTGGCTTGCTTTTTCATCTCTCTCTCTGTGTTACAGAACGAATGCAAATCGATTTGCATAAGATCCAAATGAAAATGTTGTTTTCACATGTGCAGACACATTTTCTTTAGCTCGACGATTTTCGATGTATTAATACGAAGGGGAGATTTTTTAGCGAGCGACTGAGTTAAGAGAGTGAGTAAGTGAGTGGGAAAAAAGTGTATGTTTGTGACGACATCAATTTGCAGCATCAAGCGACAAATATATTCGGCACACGGAACATCCAGGAATATCGAAAGGATCAATAAAGCTGTATCAGACAAAGCAAATATTTACAATTCCATTTTCAGCTATTTTCCACTTATCTATCCTCAATAAAAAATAGAAACATCAATATTTCTTTGGCATTCGATCCATGGCAGCATATTTTTGTTGCTGTTTTTTTTTCGCTTTCCATTGCGAATGAAAGACTTTTCCGCCATGAGAAATCATTGTGTCGAAAAATCGGTATTCAGCGAGAAAGCATTAGCAGCAGCCGTAAAAATACCTATGGAATGTGCAAATGTATAAAATGTGGTGTGCACATATACATAAAAATAAAATACACACACATATATATACGTAAATGCGGCAATACTTAAAGAAGCAGCAGCGTACCATAAAACGACAGTAGCATTAATTTTGTCGCACTTGCAATCACCAACCCATACCATTTTCATTGTTTGCACACAAAATATACACGGAACTCAAACACACAAATAACACCCCGAGCCACTTTATTTAGAAAGAAGACGAGAAAAAAATGCAAGTTAAATAAAATCAAAGCCTGCAAGATTTATGTTACGCATTTACGTTTGGATTTACGATTTTCCTTCTTCTTTTTCCGCTTTTTATTGTGTATGTTTGTATTTTGCTGCCGATTTCTTTTCTTATAATACATATATTCGGGTGTCATCGAATCAGAAGGGTCAGGAAATTGATCCCCCTTTTTTTCGATTTTCTAAATGTATTATAAACATAAAAAACGACGGGAAAAGAATAGAAAAAAAAGAAGAATAAAAATGTTTATGCTTGTTGGAAATGAGTGGCCGAACCACCTTCATATCAATGATGATTTCATAATATGCTCGTTTGGGCCCCGACAAGAGAAAAAAAAGAGCAACTCACAATTGAGTCGATTCGAATTTTAAGGAATGTGAAAGATGGTTTGCTATTATTAGAGGGACAATGAAAGAAGAAAAAAATTACCAACTGCTTCGCAGGCACAAGTGTACACACGTCAAACGACTGTTTGTGTGTGGAAAATCAGTAAATTATATCAACAACTGAGACAAATCAATTTTACCGTTTAAAATTTATGGTTTTTCTCGTGCTCGGTAATCAATTTTCCTGACTAGTTTGCGACACATTCCTTCCATTGAAGTCATTCGTCGGAGCATGTCACTTGTTTCGTATATGCTACAGGCAGCAATCAATTTCCTAATAATAATTGTCATATGAAAAGGGATTCCGTTCGAAAAGACAGTCGATTCGACTACGGTAGTGACGATGAAATGATGTTGCAAACATTGAATTGCTTTACGCATAAATATAAACATTGCTGCTGTTTCTGCCACTATTTTTCACTCTTTGCTGACTGATTTCAGTGAATCAAATGCATACATTCCATTCGTCGCCACTCCCTTCCCATTACAGTAATTGTGAAAATTAATTAAAACCAAGCCGTTATAAATATCGAGTGAGGGTTCCGCTTTGTCATTTCAGATTTGTTGTCGTTGTTTGTGCTGTGAACTACCGTTTATTTAACTCCTATGTATACGCAGCAAACACTTCACTACTCAACGCTTCGAATATTTGTCAATTGAGATTCTACGCCGAAATGATGAATAAAAAAAAATCATCATTTACAAACGTACATACAAGGCAAAACAATGGAAAGCGCTGTACAATCTCCACAATTTGAAATTGAATGCGGCTCAATCTTTTTTGGTCGGTTACGACTCATGTCTAGACTATCATTATCATTAGCAAACAATTTAGAATAAATCTTATTACTCCATTGGAATGCGGAAAGATGGAATGGCCAAATCTCATCGAGAGCAATTTAACGAATTGTTCATTTGCCGCACAAGTGGGCTTGCTAGCTCACTTGCTCTATATCTCCTTCTTTCCCTCCCCCTTTCCTCTCTCTCTTCTCTAGTTCTCTGTTCTGTTTCGTCTTCTGGAGCCCAATGAAACGAACAATGTGAAGTAATTTGCACTCTTATCTATTGAAATTTCTTGACAAACGGAGGCAAAAAAAAGAACTGTCTTCGCTTCATTCCGCATTCATTACGAAGTGTTTGAAAACATTTAAATTCTATTGTTTGAGTTTTTCAATTACAATACCAAGTGATCCATCGTGTGATGTCTATTCGTTGTATTACTCAAGTGAGAACATTTTTTACACGCGGCATGCATAAAATTTCTTCGAATCCAGTTTGCTTTGCAGTCATTTGCTTTATTGCATCATTTTAATAGCCGCTCCGTATATTTGTATTTTCCAAGTGGCCTCGCGGAAAAAGGATAAACTAATTACAATTTGTAGCGATTAAATTTTAAAAAAATACACACCATCAACTTATGGCCCATCAAAGTTAATGTTTGCAATGTCCCGATTTAGAATCCATTTGAAAAATTAAAGCGAGAGACACAGCGCTTCCATAAATTTAATAGACGAATTTCCTTAAAACAAACTTAACTGACGAAATGTAAAGACGGTACAACCCTTAAAGGTCCTACACTGATGGATAAATATTACATTCATTTCGAACAAAAACGTCCTAATTCCAGCAAGAGCAAAAAGTCTGCTACATATTTGTAACGGAAAATATATTGGTCGTTTGAAAATGAAAATTATGGATTGAAAGTAAAATCGAAAGAAATTGGGTCGACCAAAGCCATTAGTCGTGTACTTTATTTGTGTGTCATGCCGCTATTAAGAGGATGTTTTGCTTCGAACAATGCATTCATCATAATAGTTTATGAATGAAAGAAAAAAACGTTGAAATACCGCACGGCATAATTCCCATCGTGACTCATCTACGTCTATTTACATTCAACTACTCACTGTGTTACTCAAGTGCTTTTTATTTAACCGGATAAAAATGGTCGTATTGAATGTGAAATATGTGTTTCATGTATGGTATTGTACTTTTTCAACTATGCGGAATGATGGCATACCGTTCCATTTAACAGTCATCGCACCCAAGGAAAGAAACGGAGAGAGAGCGAAATCTTGAGCGATTGAGAATAATATATGAATAACGGAACCACCATCCATATGGTGTGTGTGTGTGTACGAAAGTGAGTGAGACAGCAAGCGAAGAAATCATTATGAATAAAGTGCTTATGATTGTACTCATTTATTTACCTGTTGCATGTGCACTGAGAAGATCTTTTGATGATGAGCCCGGCTTCGATGCACTTACACCCAATGCGCTTACCCGAACTGAGAATCGTGCGCCAGTTTTTTGTCGACGTTCATTAATTCCTTTGTACAACCATGATATCGCACATGGTATTGCACCCAGTTCCTTTGCCGATGCCAGTGATCCAAACATTGTTTTCGATTGACCTGAAAAAATAAGAGAATAGAAAATAATGAATAAACTTTATGCTCTGACAATATTTTACGATGTCATGTGATATGATGATTTTTGAGTCTGTCAACCGAAAAATATAAATGAACATTGCATCGCATTTTGATTAATGATGGTGTGTAAAAATATTAATTTTCCACATACCTGATTCGGCATAGCCAAGCGTGAGCAAGCAACCGTCGTTGCCTTCAAGCACAGCGGGTATGACTTCGGATAGAGCCGATGATGTGACATCACTTTGAGCATCTTCGTCGGTAAACAAATTATCGAATGCGAAGATTTTCGGTGCGGCAACTTTGGGGCCTCGTTCTTGTGATGCTTGCGAACTTGGTGCCGATGTTGTTGGATCGGTTAATGTAATTTGTCGCTTCTTCTTGTCAATAGACAAGTAATGAGGCTTTTGCGAATCTTCCGTCAAAGCTGACTCCGATATGCGAAGCATAACTTTAACCTATTCAACGGAAAATGGGAGACACAGAGAATATATCAATTAATTTTGTGCCTTTTTCTTCGAAATTTTTCGACAAAGTGTCAAAATTTGCTAATAATATTGATGGAGAGGCGACGATAACGACGACGACGACGGCGAATGTGATGCATGCAAGTAATCACAGTAAATTAATAAATTAGCTGCAAATTATTTACAAAATATAATTAATAAAAATGTATATGTTATATATGTGTGTCCCCTGTGAACGGTCGGCGACCAGACTGAGCACGCGAGAGCTGGCATGTTATAAATTGATGTCGTGTGAAAAAAAATATACTTTTTCCATCATTAGATAAAATTAATTGATTTATATGTACATTCGAAAGGAGTGAGGCAAATTTTAATCAAAAAATTTGTTGATAATTTTTACTCCGTCTTGGAAATTGATAATAAATCAAAGATTGTTCAAGTGAATTTTATTGATTAAGTTAAGGTAATGCAATATTATTATTATTTGATGTGAAAGCAATGCAAGCTTATTTAATTTGAAGAAAAAGCTATATTGTTTTGTTAACAGGAAACTTTATTTCGCTTTTCTTTTCACATTTTCTTTGGCCATACTCAAAGTAATCGAATAATAAGCAAAAGTTCGTTTCAACTTGTTTACTTCATTCATGGATCTTTCTCTCCTTTTTCGATAAAGCAACATTCGATTCATTGAACTGTAAACAAAGTGGACAGCACAAACACACAAAATAAACGGAAACGAAGATCCCATTGAAAGTGAAACAAAAAAAAACGACCAAGAGACAAAACCGTATTGGGTTGAGACTTGAGAAAGGATGAGAAATAAACCGCATAAATGCATCGAATAGTTGTATGTTACATCGACAAAATAAATGTCAATATTTGTTAGTTGTCCGGTTATTTCGCATTAACAAATGTCTGCTATTGTTGTTTATTATTGGGAAATGTGTAGCCAATTTTTTCGATGGTATTTGTTGTTATGTTCTATGCTATCAATGGTGCATTGCATAGTGGCTTGTGTGCCCCACTGCCATGATACTACTATGTCACTTTGAGTTTATGTTTCTGTTGTGTGATTTTGAGCATTGTGTGTGCATTAAACTTTTTGTGTTGGATATAATGTTTTATATGTTGTGCATTGTTGTGTCGTTTTGCTGATAGATTCGATGGCAAGCGAATACATAAAATTATTGTGACAGAAGTTGCTCTTTTCCATTTCGGCGCCTCAAGTGAACATGAAACTGACCAACCGTTCATCCACGTATGACTGTGTGTGTGTGTGTGTGTGTTTGTGTGATATAAATTGCATGGGCTTTGGCAAATTGGTGCAACGATAATTTAATTTGATAGTTTGTATAAATTTTCGTGTTAATTTTTTATATTGTTTACGCACATAGCATGTAACATTGATGAAAATTCACTCGAGTACTCATACGGGCTTATTCATGTACATAAAATGTATTTTGTATAATGATTGTGCGAAATTTTTCATAAAATAACGTCAAACATGCACGAAACACGGAAACGTACGAAAATAACAAACACTCACCTTTCCCAGTCCATAGTTCTCTTTATTTGCCAGCCGTCTCGCCAGAACAGCTGGCATTGAAGGTTGAATTCGCTGGAGTGCTCCACAAAATCCGCCACGCTCCGCATTTGGTATGTCTGGAACTCGCGATCTAACTGGCGCATTATTGTTGGCCATTCGTTGAGCAGCTCTTCAAAATAAAAAAGTGTCATAAAATACCATACAATTAGTTTAATTAATATGCATATTGTTTTCTATTTCAATAGAATGAAAATGAATGTTATGATAATTTTATGTGATTTTGCGTTTGAAATAATAGCACCGCATAGATCTGGTATATAAAAAAAACAAACAAACTCAAGCACACAAATCATTTTCACACAGGGATCTCTGCTCTCGTCATTTGTTAATTATAAAATTTATGAAATTTTTTTTAAAAGCATTATTAATCACATTTTACTTTAAAATATAATCGGTTGAATAGGGTCGGCGTTGACTATTTTTTGCGTTGTTTTTCACGGCGCAACAAATCCTCATAATAAAATCGATTTTTAACTTCAATACGTTTTGCAACAAACCGTATGGAATATGGGAGCAAGTATACGTGTGCGGGGTAAAATATATCCATTGTTTCAAAGTTTCATTTTAATGCTGCCGAAAAAAGCGAAAACAAGAGAAAGGAAAGAGAGAGAGAGAGAGAGCTAGAGTGTGAGTGTGCATGCACATACAACAAATGTGTTTGTATTTACAACAACCGTTTCCCCATGGAATTCAAAGAATACTTTTGAGCATTTTTTTTGTTTCATGTCATTTTTTTGACATTGATGGAATGCCGCACAAGCAACGGAATGCAAATTTTTGTGAAATGCTTTGTGCTCGTTAAAAAAAAGTTGTTATGTTTTTTTTTCAGCGTAACAGGAACAAAAAAGTTTATTTGCACGATTGTGAAAAATTCGAATGTATATTCCGTGTTGTCGGCTTGTTCGTTCGAACCAAACAACTCTCTTGTTTATTCGTTTGTATCCCTTTCATGCTAATGATTGTCGACATTCGGAAAACCATCACAAGAATATTAATGGAGGCAAACAACAGTAACAAAGAATGCCCAAACCATTCAGACATAATTGAACATGATGATAATTGATAATAATTTAACGGAAACAAATTGGTGAAAATACTTTTGCTCCACGTCTTTAACTGTGAAATTCACAACGAAAGCTAATGGCAGAGCATCACTGTGTAATCGCATATGACCACTCCAAAGCACTGACCACTCTGATCAATTTACTCTCTATTTCCGAATCGGATATTTCAATAAGGAAAATGAAAAATACATAAGCGCTAGCACCACATCGACGTTATACCATCGCTGGTATATAGATTATACTTTGCCATTACGTTCGCCTCTTCGATTCATGTTCAATTGATAGAAGCCAATAGCTTGACCTACTTCTAATTTCTAGACCTTGCATTACGTATTTATGAAGTCGGAAAATCCAGTAAAGGAGCTTTTTCACTTCTCTTTCAGGCATGAGCGAATTGACTTAATTTGACTTGTGACATATGCCCTGTGCCTTTTTTTAAGTCCATTTTTTGTGTGTGTATGTCTGCAAAATTCAGTGATATCAACCCAATTGACAAATCCGAATGGCAAACAAAAACACAACAGTTTTCTCACAAATAAAACCAAAAACCTAAAATAAATTGTGTTGAATTATTTATCGTGTTTGCCTTCGGAGCCAAAAATTTCAACTTCAATTTCCACAAATTATTTTGAACAACAGACGAAAATGGAGTGGAATCTCTTCTATTGCGATGAATCTTGATTTTTCGATAATCACATTTTCTTGTGCTGCACTTGAGAGATTTTGAGCGGCACACTTTGCACAAGATTTCGAGCATTGGGACTTCAGTTTTTTTCATCTCTCTTTTCAGTTGAAAAATGATTTTATAATTGTTCTCGTTGATATAGAGGGAAAAATCGGCAACGAAATGGCATGAAAGAAACCTTTTTTCGGTTGAATTTCGTGCCCATTTGACTGGAAAGATCTCAATTATTGATATTATTCTTCGTCTTTTCCGTTTGACAATGCAGAAAATGAATGTCGAGATGCGTAACCATCTTCGTCTACACAGATAAGAATGATCCTAAATGAGATGTATAATTAATGCGGAACATTTTTTTTCTCCACTCCGCTCCAATAACAATGGGTATAACGACGGAAGGATGACGTAAAAAGAGCAAATCGAAATTTGTAACAATGATGCGTTTGGCATTTGAGTGTCTGGCGATTGGACTCGAGCAATCTACTTCATCTTGGTGAAAATAATAATAAAAAAATCTTCCTCTCATTTTTGAAATAGGTAATATCTTGATTATTTTTATCATCGAAATATGTCCATGATTATTCTTTGATATAGAAAGAAATTCGTTCCAGTGCGATGTCATTTATCATCGGCTAAAAATACATGCAAATACAAAGTGCACGGAAATCACGTTGAAATGTGATTCGGTATTGTAGATAAAAATAGAGCGAATGGAATGGCTGGTGTTGTCTGCATATGCCAATTCATATTTGGGTGAATAACGTTTTTAATTAACGGGAATAGCCAAAGTGAGTGAAAAGATAATGAATATTTAATTTTGTGTGTTTCAACCATTCGGAACGTGTCACTGTCAAAGTACTGAATAAACAAAAAGCCGGCTTTCTCAATGCACGATCTTTAATTCGGGGTTTTACGTTTTGTGTCAGAGGATTCATGTGAAATACCGCAGTCTCGAAACACTGTACACGAACAAAACTCCGAAAGCATTTAAAATTAAAACAATGTCTGCCAATTCGAATATGGGAAACACGAGAAAGCACGGAGAGCAAGCGAGAAGGAAATATTCGTTCGCGAACGAATGTTCAGCGTAAAAACGCATAGACTCAAAGCCAACCAAAAAAGCAATAGTAAAATTGTGCCCAGACAATGAGAGATATGTCACACATAATCAACTCGTATAGGAGGAAGTTCGTATATCGGCTTAACTCTCAGTGGCAATGTAAAAATTTCATTGGAATATCTCTCGGTCTCTTAATATTTTATATATCCAATTTGATGTGTCGTTCGGCAAGTCGTGCGAGGCGTATGCATGTGTGTTTGTGTAGAAAAAAATATTTTCGTTTCTTCTTTTCGATATATTTTCTATATGCTTCCGTGCTTATTTCTCTTTGGCTCCTGCTCGCTCCTGCCATTTTGCAATATTTTTCTTTGGTCTTTATTTCGGCTTTTGTCTGCATCGAAATTTCCATCCATCAAGAAACTAAACGTGAGCAAAATTCATTGTTTGCGACGCATCCTCCCCCATGATTTTACGAACTTGAACATTATGTCCTTGTCGTATAATTTCTCTTTCATTCTTACTTCAAATCTTTCTCTATCTCACTCCGTGTCGTCTTCGTGAACTTTTCATGTAGTTTCAGTCGTACACATTCTTCGGATTGTGTGAGTGTGTTTGCGATGAATAGTTCAGAAAAGTCGTGTTTTTGCTCAGCTTCGGGCTACACCGCCCGCACCACATATATAATCAACTATGAACCACCGAACACAAGCAATTCACGTACTCGTTTTCTGTTGCCAAAGTTGGAGTTAGTTTTCTATCGGTTTGTGGCAGTTCGCTGCGTGTTTTTTTTTATCCATTGTCGTTTTTATTGTTTCTTTTTGTATTTCGTTTTCTATTTTTCGTCATCATTTCACGCTTTATAGATTGCCGAAGAGCATTCCCATTATTACGTATTATGAAATGTAAGAATATCATGGGTGTGTGTGTGTGCGTAACACTACTACAGCACCTGGCCCCACGTACACGTATAAAAATGCCACTTAAGATAAATGGTGCACACATCTCTTGAAATGTGCGAGAACGAGATCCATCTCATATATATATAGATTGGCTGCACATCTTTCGTTCTCGCTTGATCTGCTTATACTTGTACCGTGGATATCTCGTTTTCTCTTTTTCCGTTTCAAATGTGCTCCCTCCATTTGAAGCTTTGTATCTTTTTTAATAATGTGCTTATAAAGGAATTCAGACTTAAAGGGATTTAAACGATATAAAATCGTTCGATTGTCAAGTGACTGCCATAACGATATTTTTTATGAAACGAGAAATGAATTGGTTTATCCATGATTTATTTAGTTCTTTATTACGAATCCAGCAATAATTTCCATTTATATCATTGATTTTCTTCTTTCTTTTAAACGAGATCAAAAATTCAGGCAAAACTACGTGAATACGTTTGTAATGAATTGCTACTTGAATATAGTTACAATCAATACTAAAATGTGCAATTTCCATGTTGTTCTGTTGGGTTTGGAAATTTGGTAACTTTGACAAATTATTGATTTTTTAATGGAATCGAAAACAAATTGAGATATATTCTGTCACTCATCATAATAAAGTCATTCACAATCAACACGAATCTATTAAATATGAACTAAATTCTCTGTTTTCAACTTCATGAATGTTTGCAGACACGATTTGAATATTTGTTTTATAAATCCGATTTTACATTCTGGTAAATGACACGAACACTAAATAAAACACCACTGTAACTGTCCGAAGTGTCATGCAGTTGAATGCAATATGTTGTTTTGAATAAACATAGAAGGGAAACGTATCCGGGGCCAATTTTTAATGAAGCATGGAACAGAGAGAACGGTGCAGATTTTCATGTGCATTTTAATCATCTTATGAATTATTCCAATCGTAATAAATTTTCATACAAAAGTAATGTGATCGTCCATAATTTATGTTTTGTACATGTTGATTAAATCGAGCCGAGGCTTTTCCAACTTTCTATGTTCGCTGGTTGCTTCTTTTCCACCAATATTCACTTTTATGCTGTCAAATGGCATGCATCCTTTTTTCACTTCCCGCTTTCGTTTGTAAACTCATTTCCACGAATTCAGTATGTTATCAACAGGGCTTGATCCTTACAGCGCGCAAAAAGTCTGTGAGTATGCCGCACAAATAGGTAACGACACCGTCACCTAATAATAAGCATTAAATAGCAAACCCTCGCGCACACACTCGGTACATGCATGTATGTATTATTTATATTTTTTCGAGCAACGTTGTCGTCGCATCCCCGTAGAAAACCAAAGCGACAAAAGAAATGTGCATTGTGACCAGCATTAGCAGTA